TACGGCAGTGCATCGTATTAAAGCACGGGGCTACAGTGGAAAGTGACGTCATAAAAATAATTTATCCTAATCCACAAGTTATTCCAACCATCACATATCATAATCCACGAATACGCATATTTCCCCTCCTCAGGGGCATGCGATACTCGGCGCGGGACCCTGCGAGATGGTAGGATCAAAGGTTACCAAGAACAGGCTCAATACCGTACCGGTAATGTCGAACGGAAGTTTCCCGAGACGTGCCTATCTCGAACAAGTATGATACTGACTTTGCTCTGTATGACAATTGTGGAAAAGTTCTCCCCTCCCAGCGCTGGGGGGTTATGGAATCTCGTCCAAGTCCGCTATCGCGTGCTACTGAGGATACCGTACGAGGATGACGGAAGACGAGGAGATATTGGAGATATTGGGGCGTACAGATAGTATCCCTGGCGAACACATGCCGGCCAAACCTACCGTGCGCTTCCTGCAAAAGAGCGGCTGTGAGACCAGGACATTCTCTGACCTTGGCAAACGGGCATCGTATCAGACCTCTAATGAGAAAGGCTCCATGGGATTTGGGGCTTAGTTGAGGTTCGAAAACTATGCAAGTTTGTTTTTAAGCCTGACGGCGGAAGAAAAGTTTTTTTCCTCGATCCTGGGGCCGAATGTCTCTATCAAGGCTGCGGTAGGCGGGTGCGCATACAGCGCAAGAACTTTAAGAACCTTGACCGCCGAAAGCAGTTGTGATACGGATAAAAATTTGCAAAACCTTTGTTCGACCACCCGCAGACCTGATGCAGCGCTGGGTGGAAGGGAGGACGGGGTTATGGGCAATCAGAGGCGAGAATCAATGTTTCAAGCTGCTCTTGGACGTTGGAGCGTTGGCTCTCTGGGGCAGTAGCACCTTCTCGTTTGGCTTTATTGTACCACATTTCTAATAGCTCCGGCGATCAGGATACCCTGCTCAAGCTATATACTCAAGTATATCGGGCTTAGAAAGGTTAAGAAATGATGAAACTTTGACCGCTATTATTTTATGCACTTTTGGGGAATGTTCAGAATTCCATTTGATGGTGTTGCCTCATTACGATCTCTTGCCGTCCGGTCATTGGTTTGCCGTACCCGGCGGTGAACCTTTTCATATGACAATTTATTGTGCAATTGCTAACGGGCATTTCGGATATCATACTAGAGCCTAAGAGATCAGGTAAAATTGAAAAAAGAAAGGTTGACAAAACATAGCCTCACCTTTGTGGGACGTTGAAGAAAAAAATTGCAGATTTTCTTTCTTCTCTAAAGCCAAAGGTTTCAGAGTGTTTTTCTCCACCCTCGCTTAGAGTTGGTGTCCCGCGCCAAGACTATTAAGAAAATTGCTAAGCCACTTATCCTAGACTTCCCCGCAAATCCACCATCAAGAATTGCAGACGTTGAGGGAGGAAATGAAAAAAAATGAAAAAAATCTGGAGGCTTCGAGTAATTTTCAAATCCATTCACGTCATTCGGGGAATAAGGAGACTGCTGACGCTCCGTGAGTACCTTGCTGTCCGCTGCCAAGCTGGGTGAAACCCTTTTTCGTGGTGTCAGAAAGGTACGAGCCTACCGTAACTTACCGTATGCACAAGAAAAGGGTTTTCCCTGCGGAGAAAAAGAGCTGCTCAGCCCCCCTCCCACCAGGCGTGATGAAAAACGAGGGGCAGCAAAAGAGAAAAAAGCAAAAGCAAAACACTGGTCCTTAGTCCACCAGATGAGGCAATTCCAACTACATAGCACTGATTTCAGTCATTTGGGCACTCACGATACCGCTAAGTTGGCTTTCATGTGAGGCGACCGATACAGTATCCTAATATCATACTTTTCTTCTTTTTTTTTTTCATTTTTCCCGGTAACATTGGGGCTTAATTATGACAGCGGGGTGAACATGGGCCCAACCAGGAGTGTCTACCTTCAGATGGAGGCGGGGACGGCCGTCAGATTACCGTACCCTAATTTAAATAGTGTATTATCCAACAGATCCGTTTAGCTGCGCAAGGCATCACCGACGTTGGCGGTCAACCTAACGACGTTGCGCCTGCGAGCACCAACCGACTAGAATTGGCCAAGCCACCGTGGTAGGCACGCACCAGCACAGCAAAGTACTACGGGTACAACGAGTTCATATACAAGCAAGGAACGCCTGCGAAAGTCGCGATGATATTGCCCAAAAGAGGTGCTTCACAGTTGTCCATCACCGGCTTGTGCCGGCGGGGCTATCTGAGTACAGTACAGTACCATAATGGCGGAACCAGTATATTATATGCCGGACTTAGTGAGGCGGTGGAAAATTTTTGTGCTGCCCCAGTAGGCATCAGAGACAGGTGGAGAAGGGTCCCGCATCAATATCCTTCAGTGATAGTATGCGCATTACCGTTATGCCATAGCTGACATTATTAGCTAACTTATCGTCCGAAGTTCGCACAATTGTAGATTCGTAGTACGGTACGGTATATAATTGGCCGGAGTTGGCTGCTTGTTGCCCTGTGTGTCTCAGACACTGGCTGACTGACTGATAGGGACCCGCGCAAATTTTTTCTCCTCTCCCCTCCGAATGTCTCAACTGTTCGGGAGCTAAATTAGCTCCCCTGACTTCAGTGATTACGGTAGGATTCCAGTTGAATAAATAATCTGATGTGATAAGGTAACATAACATACATTCCCGTGCCCAGAACCCCGGGATCGACCAACTGCATTCTTGGCACATTCTTGCACGTGTATATACCTCCCATTTCTGGAGTACTCCTCCGCTGCTTACGTCCAGAGTGGTACAGTACAAGCTCAGATAGGTTAAAGGCGTTCGGGGAGGATATGGTTTTGGTCATTTGGTCATTTGGTATGATAAGAGCAATTACAAGTATGTATCATACTGTACGGTACGGTACGGTTCTCGCACGGATGGTGTACAGTACAATACCCGTCAGTCTTATTGTGCTTGTATAAACATGGCCTGATTTTTTTTCTTTCTTTTCTTCTTTTCCTGTGGGCCATAGACTCTGGGAGACCTTCTGTAAGCCAATTGTGACCGGCAGAATAAGTATCCGCACTGTAGGTATGATAGAAAGAAAGAAAGAAAGAAGTGATTCAGGGGAATGCAAGACCAGAGATCCGCTCTCGTGAGATTGTTACGATTTTCAATTTCGTTGTATGGTACAAGGATCAAGATACTTGTGCCTCTCCCTGACTTAAGCCTTAACGAGGCGAGCTAGCCAGGGTGTATTCTGCATGTTTTTTTGTTTTTTTTTCCCTTTCACATTTTTCTGCCTGGCTGATGCTAATATCCCAATTGGTGATCGCCGTGTAGGTGACGGCTCGTGAGTTGATTGTGCTCCGTCTGATAATGGTGAGATGAGATCAACAATACGAAAGTGGAGTAGTGATTGCTGCGGGGAAGGGTGTGAATGACTGTTTGGTAGACGGCGACTAACTTAGTATGTATGGCGGTATAGTGGGGGGGAACTGCCCTGGGCCCCGGCGGTGATTGGTAAAGGTATGGTGGAGGACTTTGTTGGCTTTTGTGTATTCTACCCTCGCTCTCTAAACAGACAGTAAAGTCAGGAGAAGTATATGATATCATGTGAAAAACAGAACCGTAAACCCTTCCTGGCCCTCCGTAGATTACCACACATATATTCCTTTCCCCGTGCCTGCCCCCTATTCCTCCGTACATTCCGGTGATTACAAAGGAAAGACAGGTCTAAAGGGACTTCTCCGTTGATCGCTAAATCACCGGAACGGTCCCACAATATTTCATTGTTCTCCTATGACCGCCAGCCGCACAACCATGGCACTCGTATCTATAGAATAAATAATGGGGAAGGGAAGGAAAGAAGGTTCGGCACCGGTAGTGTCCGACTGGGCGACTGGGAGCGTTAGGTATAATGTGGTCCACACCAATATGCCCTACGGTGCGCGAACGATACTTTCTGGGGATGCGTGAAGGGTGAGGGTGTTTAGTGTCTCAAAGAGGTATTGTTGCTGCTGCTGCCGCCTGGCTCTTGACACTAAGCTGCGCTCAAGAGATGATATCTGTATGCCATAGGTAATTTAGTATAATAATTGTGAAAGGATTTTTATGAATCCAATGGACCCGTCCATCCCCCCCCTGGGGAGTCAAGCGAGTCACTTCTACCACTCGTGCCCGCATGCTTTTGTCTCCTATTTGCCTCAATTCACGGCGGTATTCAAAAGCACTGATGTGAATTGATAATCCTGCTATTGAGAAGAAGCTTGACTTTCTTATAGTACCACATGCGCAGCAGTAGGTTTTTATGTTATACTGAACTACCGAGTGAAGGAAAGAAACATTGGGAACCCGAGGTCGGTAATGAGAACCTCGGAGGAAAGAATTTGACAGAACCTCGGGGAGAAAAGAAACATATGGGGACCTCGGGAGGGGAGAGACACATGTTGGGGCTTCTGATAATGAGAAAATAGTAATACCATAGTTGAATATGGCATGGTTGTGCAATTGTGAGACAAACGATGAAGAGAGTGGTGAGGAAAGTACTAGGAGAAACTAAACGAAAGGAGACTAGTCTGTTTGGCGGATAAGCACTAAATCCAACGCCTAAGTCGAGTGACGTACTGTGCTTAGAATTTCTAAGGTCCTGTTTGGATGTGACCGTTTCGTTCCGTTTCCCTATACAAACGACCGTTACCTTCCGTTTCGAAACGGGAGAAACTGAACTGGTGTTTGGTAACTATGAAATAAATTGACCGTTCCGTTCTGAAATGTGCCGAGTCGACTGTTGCGAAACAGAAGTGCTCCGTTTCTGAAGGGGCAGCTGTTTTGAAACGGAACGGTCACGAACGGTTCCGTTCCTACCAAACAGCCTAAGGCATTCATCAAACAGTGTTTGCTCAATGTGTGCTGTGCTCGTGTATATGAGAGGTGCAATTTCTTCACAAGTCTTGCAAAAGGGGGAGTGATTCTTAAATAAGCCATGAACTAAACATGAACAAATAATCTAAAACATATCAGACGATCAGACTGCCAGCACGCCCTTGAAGTATCCCTCCAACCAGCCAACGGCCTTCTCAGCCATGCCCTGTCCCCAGACCTCTGCAACACCAACATATCCATCAGGCCTGACCACAACAGTCATCACCTCACCATCACTTAGACCACGCTTACCTGCCCACTTCTTAGTAGGACTGACGTTTTCCTCTAAACGGTCGTTGTACAATGTCCACTTGTAAGGTCTAAGCAGTGTTGGCAAGTCTGTGAATTCAATATCCTTTTGCGGGCTTTGTGTGATGGTGCTGAAGGTGAAAATACGGGAGAGGTTGGGGATAACATAGCGGTCGGGCTGAATGTATTCGTCGGCCTCAACTTTTGGAGCGGAATACGACGCAAGAAGGGACTTCTTTGAGGCACGGGACATGACGGTATTCGGGGCTGAAATTCCCTCGCAGATCTCCAAGAGTAGTTGGAGGGCGGAGTGGTAATTACTTGCAAGGAAGTATATCTTGAACTGGTTCCTCAGTGGAATGTCTAATTGAATGTCCACCGGGTTTGTGTCAACATATCGAGTGGCCCTGGCAGGAAGAAGCAGTTCTCCGGGGATCAATCCGAGCCCGGATGTCGAGGAAGGGGTTGTGAGGGGGGTATTGGCATCATAGACAGCGCCTACACCGGAAATGAAGCGAATGTTTTTGGCAAAATTTTCTGCGAGGGCCGCTTGGTCGTTCTTGACGAAGGCGTTTGCATGCTCGTAGTCAAAGGATATGAGATCTTGAGCAATCTTGGAGCGCTCAGTGGGGTAAGACGCGAGAAGAGAGGCTGGCGAAATAGAGTTCAGCACTAAGGATAGCTTCCAAGCTAGATTGAATGTGTCATGCATGGAAACATTCATTCCCTGAGCGGCTTTTGGCGAATGCGTGTGAGAAGCATCACCGGCGATGAAAACACGGTTTGCATGGGAGAAATTTGAGGCGATTCTTTGGCCAACTGATAAACTTAGCAGAGTCCGAGGACCGGGGGTAATCGGAGTTACTTTGATAACAGCCGAACCATTCAACACTCTTCCAGTCTACGGTGAATGGCGCGAGTATTTCTCTCCCGCGAGCCATGACAAAGTCTTGATTCGCAATAGCCTTGGATATCTTTGCACCTTCTGATCCAGTGCTGAGCTCAATGTAGAGTCGAGTCATGTTCCTCTCCCGAGGGATGGATAGAATAGTTCCTTTGTCGTGGGAAGAAATAATGCTATATCTGTTAGCATCACCGAGATATTAAGGGGGGGGGGGAGGGCTCACCATTTGCTCCACAGATCCGGGAAATCCGTCTCGATTACCCCGTCCAAGACTCCCCAAAACACATCTACACTCTCGCCCTGCATCTCGTTTCCGGGCATACTACGTCTGACAGCGCTGTGTGCACCATCACACCCGACGAGATACTTCGCCCTAGTAACCTTGTCTTCCCTGTTGTGCTTGTACTTGGCGATGACAGGATATTCAGCATTTGGGTTTTCGTCAAGGGCGTACGAATCGAATGTGCTCGACCGTTGAACATATGCACCCCGGATCTCCATGTCCGCCAGGAATAACTCCTCAATCATTCCCTGATGCACAAGTAGAATATACGGCTCCAATACGTCAACCACCGGCGGGAAGTGAGCATCGCGATTCGTGCGATGAAGCTTTGTGTCGGGGTAGGAATTCCAGAAGGAGTAGTCATAGATCTTGGCACCTTTTCTCAGTATTCCATCGGCAATTCCGAGTTGTTTGAGTGTCTCGAGGGTCTTTGGTTGGAGGCCATCTGCTCGTCCGGTGGAGGTCTTGTCGGTTCGCTCATCGATTATCTTGGTAGGAATGCCGGCACGGACGAGTTGAGCTCTGAAACCACAATGAATCAGTTTTGGAGGACAAATGATTTAGGACGGTCAAGACAAATACGCAAGCATGAGGCCAGCCGGGCCAGCTCCCACGACAAGAACATCAGTGGTCTCGGTGTCGGTCTGATGCTCGGGAATCCGTGCTGGGGACATTCCGGGTGCTAATCTTTTCATAGGTGATTGAATTCTCAAGAGACGCTTGCGGGGAAAGGCTGAGGGTTGTCTTTTGTAAGGAGTATTGAAGGTGTTGGGTTAGTGGAAGTCGGTTTCTTTTGGGCGAGATGGTAAAGACTGGGGGTGGAAAGAGAGAGATGTCTCGGTGGTGTCAACGCGTGGTCCCGCCCTGCCGGTGTAGGGGTTCGGTAGTGTTGGGGAAAAAGCTTCATGGGGTGTACGCGGTGGGGGTCAATCGACCGGTAACTGGAATACTTTGGGGAGCGTGATAACGGAAGAGATGGGGCGTAGATAGGGATTATCTATTCGGTAGTGGTGTTGAGGTCAGGATAGGGAGGTGAAAAGTTGGAGGGTTTAGCAAACAGATCTGCAGAGATCGACAAGTTCCTGTGCCTTGACCACAGGATTCCCCCTACTCTTCGCTATTGCGGGATAGAGTGGACAAGCAATGCTGTATGAGTATGGACAGCGATACGGCAACCGCAGGGACCGAACCGCCTTTTTAGTCCCATACGGTAGTGAATTGATGAGACCTACCTGATTGTACGAGTACTGTACTTCGTAGTGTACCTGTGGCTTCGGGGGGCTGGAAAGGTGCTGTGCTGTAGGATACTGTCTGTGCGGTAAGTTACCGTACGATACACTGCACTCGAGTACAGGGGTACGAGTGTGGCCGATACGGTGACGTAGATATATTCGTCACGTGAATCTGATAAGAAAATTTCGGTGCACCTTTTGGCTGCGATGTGTCCTTAGATAAGGCACGTGACGAATACATTTATCGGCCGCACTCGTAGATCGGCCGCAGGGATTAGAGGTTGGAGAGCGATGATAGTACTCGAGTGCCAGTGGATTACTATCGCATGTGATATGTGTACTCAGCACAGTGCTGTACTCAAGTCACCGGTTTGAAGTCGTATTTCCATACATGGTGTGGGGTTCTTGGGCCCGGAAAAGCGGCATTTCATAGGGGGAATTTGAAATAATGGACACGCTCCTCAAGCGCATCATAGCAGTGGTGACTGGTAAGAAACGATACATTTTGAAGACTGCAAAATACAATTTTAAGTCACTTAACCGAGTCTCTGGGAATGTGGAATGGATCTGGTGCTCCTCTCTCAATACAAAATATTTTCTCTCGTTTCGGATATGACATGGCTCCATGTTCATCTGTTCAAGTTCTGTGCACTGGAAATACTCATTTGCCATGCCAAGAACCCAGACGCAATGAATGAATGGAAACATGACTTCAAACTGGCCACTTAACTACGGTACCTGACTTCCTCTAAAACGGTGCAACTGAACCCCACAAAACAAGAATTGAAGACTCAAGCATATCATGACCATAGGTGACTGTTACCAGTTAACGGTTTTCCCTTTTCGCCTTGCTCATTACCCCTTCCATAGCCAGTTGTGCCTGCGGGTTGGAATACATACCGGTACTTTTTCCAGTGTTCCAGAATTGTGTTCGCAGAGGAGGATGGTTGTACCGGCCTCGTACCATGGATTCGTGATCTGCCCTTGTGAATATGATAGCATACCCCAACCAAGCAAGCAAAACCCTCGGGTTTTCATTCTCGTCCCCTACGCCCTCCGCTCCTGTTGAGATTGGGTCTTTAGCTAGAATTTCAACAGAATGGAGCCTCTTGGTTGCTGGTTATCCGACTCTCCCCTCCTGCTCGCTTCCTCACCGCCCCCACCTTCCTATCTATCACGCTGTTCGGCTTTTCAAGCACCAAATTTAATCGCGACCTGTTCTGAATGTCACTGACCGGTAAATTCAGAATGGGGCTAAGTCGGTCTGGCTCCGCTGGCACAACTCATGAGCGCGAGCGTATAACTCCCGCCGTCGACCTTGGTGTGTCCGATGTTCCACGTCCCGCTTCTAGCGAGGGTTTGACTTTTCAGGCGGGGCATAGAAGAAGGAGCTCGGCTCCCACGGGCATTTCATTTGGTTCTCATCCCGACATTGCTTACGCCAGGATCGCTAGGAGAGAGGAGCCGGTTTCCGAAAACTGCAATACCGGTTGTAGCCGTGACTTTTCAAGCCAACACGGAACAACTAGGCGCATCCGGGCATTTGTCGACGACGACGAGAGAGCGGGCGGGGCCCAGGATCCCAACAACACTGTGGCTACACAATCGCTTATAACCCAGCTAGAAGGATTCGGTTGCACTAGACCTCCTACTCCGCTTTTGTTGACTCGGAATCGCCGCTTTTCTCGCCCCCCGGGTAATAGGCCGTCCGACTTCGACGTCGAGGGACCCTGTCGCTGGGGGTCTTTGACATTAGAAGCTGGTACGGGGAATACCGGTAGACTGACATTGGAGACTTGGGAAGACATGTCTGTGAGCGGAGATGACAGGGCCTCTGCTAGTGATGGGTCGGCAAACCTTGATCGAGGGGTTGATCCGGATGATTCGCGGGGCTCTTCAGCTTCTGAATCGGGAAATGCGACCGAGGAGCCGGCTTGGAAGATAAGCTGCGAGGAGAAACGTGCGGAACGCGAACGGTTAATCGCTTACTTTAAAATTCCCGAGATGAGGCTTCCCTCGAGTCGGCTTAAGAAAGTTGTCAATTTTTTTGAATGGGAGGTCAACCAGGATATTCTTTCAGATAGAGATTTCGAGATGACCGGGTTCGCGGATGTTGAGCAGGTGTTACTGAAATTGAGGACTGGGCAATGGAAGTGCGTCGATGTGATGATGGCATATATCAGGCGGTAAGTAGTCTTCTGATAAAAGTGATGGTGGTGACTCACGGACTAATTTGAGTATACAGTGCAACAGTCATTCACCAATTGGTGCGTTTCCTTTTCTGGCAGCTGGACGTCCAATACTAATTTTGACAGACTAACTGCTTGACCGAGATTATGTTTATAGAGGCTTTGAACAGAGCACGGGCGTTAGATGAATTACCACCGGCCCGACGTGGCCCTCTTCACGGCTTACCCTTCACCGTCAAAGACCAATTCAATGTTCCGGGTTTTGACTCGACTATAGGATATGCATCTTTCATCGGCAATGCAAAAGAGCTACCTCCGTCGACTCTGGTTGAAGTGCTCCAGAGACAAGGTGCGATAGTTTTCGCTAAAACAAATGTCCCACAGAGCCTGATGTGGTGTGAAACCGACAACAATGTATGGGGGCGTACGAACAATCCAAGAAATCTCGATTGTTCCCCCGGGGGGAGCACGGGAGGCGAGGCTGTTCTCCTGGCAATGAAAGGTACTCTTGTGGGCTGGGGAACAGATATTGGTGGAAGTTGTAGGATCCCATCTGCCTTGGTAGGGTGTTGGGGGCTCCGGCCAAGTGTGAGTTGATTTCTGCTCTACAATTATTCTTTGCTGACAACAAATAGAGCTACAGGCTTCCCTATTATGGTGTTACAGTTTCTACAGATGGACAAGAGCATGTTCCATCGGTAATTGGACCAATGACCCAAACCCCTCAATCCCTTACATTCATAACGCGTCAGGTGATCCAATCAAATACCCATAATTTAGACCCAAAAGTGGTCCCAATACCTTGGCGGGAAGATCTCTACCAGTCAACCCTGTTGAGCGAGAAACTCCGGATCGGACTCATGCTCGACGATGGCGTTGTTAGAGTTCATCCTCCAATTGCTCGGCTCCTCAACTGGGTTGCGACAGTCCTTGCGAGAAATGGCCATGAGATTATTCCGTGGAAACCTGACCTCCACTCTGAAGGAATCGCTCTCATGGACGAGTTCTACAGGGCCGATGGAGGTGCAGACGTTCGTTCAGCTATCGAGGCTTCCGGGGAAGATTACATCGAACATTGTCAGAAACTCTTTGGTAAGCAGATGGCTGCTGGTGCGATCGATATGCCTTCGTACTGGAAACTCTTGGTCGAGAAGCGCAAAATTCAAAGGGCATATCTTGATCGTTGGAATAACGCAGGACTGGATCTGCTTTTAACCCCTGTAATGCCGCACGTTGGAGTTAAACATAAGCAGACTTCATGGGTGGGCTATACTAAGATCTGGAACGTGCTTGATTATTCTGCTGTTGTGCTTCCAAACATTGGATACGTTTTAGCAGATGCAATCAAGATCCATGAAACAGATTTCGAGTGGAAGTTGTATAGGCCGAGAAATGACATTGATGCAGCTAATTGGAAATTATGTTTGTTTCCCAAAAATCTAATAGTGGGGGTCACAGCTAACAAGCTTTCTAGACAATCCTCGCGAAATGTATAATCAACCTATTGCAATGCAGCTTGTTGCTAGGCGTTATGAAGAGGAAAAAGTTCTGGGCGGCATGCAGTTGATATCCGACGCCTTGAAGAACTATACGGAAATCAAGGATGAGGCATATTTCGAAGTCATTGAACCTGCCGATCGTCACAACAAACATGGAAGGGAGAGCTCAGGTGAGCCGTGTGCTAGTGGTTTACAATCTGCACCTCTCGGGAGGATGCCAGTTGAGCAACCAGAATACCCTTCCAGAACGGACAATTTCGGCAGACTTTCGACTATTCCCGAAGCCTCTTCTCATGCGGCATCGGAAGTGGCCCCGAGTGTGGAATCGGTGGGGACGGCGGTTGCTCATTCGGTTTGTTCTGCGGACTCGTTTGTTACTGCAAAGTCGACCTCTCGAGAATGAGGTGTCTCTGTGTTGTGACCTAAATGTAGAATTAGACGTAGCTTGAGTACAGATTCTGAATAGATAACGCACTACGATTGCTTGGCCTAATGAAAATTTATTACAAATATCCTGCTGTTTTAGGGCCTAGAGACACAGTTTTTCTTGGTGGGGTTTGAATATCGGTAATGCGACACCAGTGACATGGTAGCTCTAGGACTAAGGTTGCTCTCCAAGCTGCAGAGAATTGGTCTATAGTATATCTTCACTCTTAAAGCAGAATCGCGCTACCACACATGTTTCTTAAGGTGAATTAGATATATATTACCGGCCCCTTTAAGCTGAGAGGTTGGAATCTAACCATAGATATGAGAGGCCTAGGAGGTTCTTGTACAAATGGACATAACAGCAGAACTTTGGGTTAAAAGAGCAGACCTGGAAACTAGGCCCAAAGAATTAGGCATGGCCGGGTGAGGTCTTCTGAGAATATCAGGATGGGCGGAAAGATACTTTTTGGAGAGTAAAGTGGATCGATCGCATGGTAGATACCGCCTTACCTAGATTTGGTTTCTCCGTTATAATGAAATGTATATCGGAGAACACTATAACGAGCGAATCGGAATGAATTTTCGGTCTGTATCTTCCCTATCCCGACACAAACTCCACCTGCTGGGTTACACTGTAAAGCGCTCCAGCTTCTAGAGGGAACTTGGCATAGAATGACTTGTTAACCCGAGCGTTTGAGTGGGTTGAATCCCGAGGCTCTTCGTCGTGATCGATCATGGTTAGTGTTGTTGAGTAAAATCAATGTGTGCACTCTTAGTGCCTGATCCGGACCTGTTGTAGACGTTTCTTCAGAAACTTGGGGCATGTTTGGATACGACCGTTCCGTTCCGTTTCCCCATACAAACGACCGTTGTCTTCTGTTTCAAAATGGAAGGAACTGAACTGGTTTTTGGTAACTATAGGATAAATCGACCGGTCCATTCTGAAATGTGCCGAGTCAACTGTTACTTGTACGAAACGGAAATGGTAATTTCTACATGGGCAACTGTTTTGAAACGGAACGGTCACGAACGGTTCCATTCCCTCCTAACAGTGCTTTGGTGATATTATGCTAGCGAGCGATGATGGCATTGGAACTATTACTAAAATTTAGGGTTAGGGACTTAGAGATACTTTTAAGGGGGGGGGGGTTTTCCCTATATAGTACTGAACACTTATCTCAAAAGTGCGGTCTGATCATCGGATAAGCCATCTAATCTGATGATTTATTTGTATCCTAACACTTCCCGCTCAGAAGGAAAGAGCCATCTTAACCAACCGGGAGAAGGGAGGGGAAGGGGGTGGAGGGCTCTGGAAGGAGGAAAAGAGTCAACCTACATCCATGACATAGCCAGTAAAGGTAGAGAATGCTTCTCACAAAATCTACCCATCAACCAGGGATGGGTTAAAAAGTCGCAGACCAAAAAGAGAAAATTGACAAACTCCTCGGGGTGGAGGGGGGGCCTATGCTAGCCTTTCCGTACAGTAAATTTATATGAGCAACCTAACCACTTGCGCAACAGTCATGATTCAACCCTTGAGGGACACCCCCAAAGAAATAGATACCACAATGTTCCAATGCCCGTTCCCAGCGGTCTATATAGTGGGAACAATCCTGGGCCCTTATGGCCCGTTATATCTGGGCCCCGTCGCGTGCCGAGATATCCGTGGCGTTTTCCGCAGAAAACTGATGTAATCCGGGATATGGATATTCGAGTGAGTTAGAAAGTGAACCTTTCTGATAATCTCGCGCCCAACCCACTGGAACCACTCTGAATGGTTACGGGCCCGCTTAGATCTTACGGAGATGTAACCCAGTGTTTAGTACTGGGGACTCCGATTAGCCTACACCTGTACCTGTACCCGAATGGTTGCTACGGTTGCTTAAAGCCTCAAGAGCACCGGCATCCGCCCCGGTGCACTTTACGGGGATTATGCTTTCCAATTGAATAAATGCTCTTATTAGATGGAATGTTTGGGAGTGATGTCCAAGGGGGGCCCCTATCAGTAGGTACCCGGCGAATCGGTGTACAGCCCGGGCTGGTCTCTCAGGGCAAGGAGAACAACCAGGGCTTTATACCGCACTCGGGAGTTACTGGAATGATCATTCCCTCATTGAAGGAATATGGTACGCGCTCGGGTTCCTCGGTTCCTCGGGCTACATCTTTAGTAGGCTGATCGTAGTGTAAAAGCGGGAACCCGGTAGAGGAAGAGACATTTTTTTTCCCTTCCCCCCAGGGCTAAAACCTTGTTCTATACCTACTCTCGTGAGTAGGGTCACTACGTTGAGCGTAAAATATGCTGGATAATTGCACGTACTAACCCCTCCCGAGACTGAAATAAAAGGGAATCTGGTTCCCTCAGTGCAGCCCCCCAGTCTAAGAGATACTCCAAATATCCAACAGTATCCAACCCGATCATGAGGTTCCAATCACTCCCGGCTTTTGCTCTCTTGTTTGGTATGAAATAAGCCTTACTAAACTCCTCCCCCCCCCCCACCCCTCTCCGCCCAAATAATTTCTAATAAACCTCCCCTCCCAGCTTTCTCTCTAGTCTCCCAATCCCAAGGACAGCCCGGTGCACAGCCCCACTGCGTGTCTAATGGGGGAGCACTAGTTTCAGACTGCACCGAAGCACTTACACATATCAATCGGGACTGGCCGCGCTCTTGCACTTTAGTCATAACCCCGCACGCTGTGGCTGCAACGGTGCGCACATGCTAGATAAGGACCTATGACCCTACCAAAGCGCACTGTCTGGAAGGGAAAATGGTTGTTGCGGCCGCGAAGAGCATTCTGTCGGTGTGTGGGGGAGGCGGAGCGGGTAAGGTTGCTGGAAGGTACGACTTCCCAGGGACTGGCGGTCGTACGGGGGTTGAAATTACAACCCCGTAGATCAAGAGGGGTGTTTTGTTCGGATTTGCGCTAAGGGGAGGGGTGGGAATTTTCGGGGGCCTGTTCCTTTGGGAGGGGGGAAAAGTGGGTTTATTTGGCACTATGATATAACGAAATCTACTTATGAACCATCAACCATACTCCCAAATTTCCTTTCCATTTTAGAGTGAGAGGTGATGAGAGCGACTGATGGGCCAATCTGAACTCCACAGAATTGAGTATTAGACCACTCTCTTGTCCATTGTACGGTGGTGATTCCAGGCAAAAAAAATTTCGGGTGTGTTTTTTTATATCAACATACTGTACCTGTTATTTGCAGCTCTTATGTTCACAGAATTTATGGCGTTCATACAGAACCGGGCCTTAATATCGGACATTGAATGCATTGTCGGAGTAGATACACCCAATGAGGAGAGAAATTGTAACTAGTCATTGCTGGGGTTTGAAAAAACTCAACATCCTCATGCGTTAGGTAATAATCACACCCAAGATCTGGACCTGAGTGCTGAGATTATTTTTCTTTCTTCGTATTTCCTATTCCTCTTCCCAAAGATACTAAGACAACCGAGGAAAAGCGGCTCCGAGGAATCAGATAATATTCAGTACCCGTATTCCTCCTAAGATAGTAAAACCTACACTGAGATGAACACTGTCACTCCCCAGACCCCCCCGTCCCTAACGTCGTCTTACGCGGGCCCCTCGCACTGAGGCCCTGTAGGTTACTATCAATATTAGCAGTCCAGGGACTATACCACACTATAGCCTCTTTAATCCCTTTTTTCTAACTAGGGCTAGGGCATCCCCTAATGGAGTTGAAAAACACTCTTCCTCTGCCTTGATACTTGCCTAGCATGATTAGGAAAAAGCCCTGTCATCGCAGAGTAGCAGTACTGCAGGTCATCCGGAAATCTTCTTTCCCGCCCATCTTGGGACGCCTACAATTGGAGAAATTGATATTTGGCGTTGTTAGCGCTGATCTTCTGGCGGAGCCTTGCTCTGTCATAAGTTACACTGTGCGTAGCGAATGAGATCTGGTATTGTACCTGAATAAATCTACAGACTCAATAAAAAAAGGTGCGGAAACACTGCTTTCGCGCTGATCAAACGGTTTCTACCTTCAGTCCGGGTATGACATACTGAGGATAGGTTCTCAATGGTTCACCTAGCTACACGCTGGGGGGGGCTCGGTTATGACAGACAAGGGAGACCGGAACTGTCACCGTGCACTGATCTTGAAACTTAAAATTCGAGAAGATTAAAATGTCCCTCACCGGTTACTAGTAAATTTCCTCTGCGATAGGCATAATTGGAATCATTGGTATTATGGGTGGATCAATAGCACATCAAACGGTGGCATGCAAAGGTAATAGAAGATGACCTGGAAGAAGAAAATATAAGTGACCGGAAGAAAGCATTCAACTGACAGTGGGGGAAAGGAAAAAGCTTTCAAAGACAATAAATCCAAACGGGCCCTAAGATTTTGGTTTAGGATTAGCGCAAGGTGGCGGCTTCAGTGGCTGGAGGCCATAGTATCCAATGATATAAACTTCTATCAACCTGAACATTCGGGGTTAAATTTCCCGTCTCTACAGATATAAAGGTGGTCGGTCTCTCTTTAGTTTTCCACTATGATTTATTCCTATCAAATATCCTTCTTCCTGACTAAGGGCCTATCACTAGGAGCTTGAAGAGAATATCGGGAGTTTCTTCTATGAATACATCCTACATTCCCCCGACTCCACCTGAAAGGTTTTGTCCTAGTTGAAAACTAGAAAAGACACTGTTGTATCCTAAGTATGCAACTATCCCAACCTCCTTTCTTTTCCATCCACCCTGCCACCCTTTATCATAGCCCTTTGCCAAAGCCCAAAAACATGGGAAGGGTCATAACCAGCACCTGCCCTCCTCCTAGATATCCACATCAACATTGCAGAATACTGCAATACCAAACTAGATGCTATAGCCATTTGTACTTAGGGATATATGTCGCAGTGATGCAAGATGTATCCTAGTTTGCATAAAACTATCATGCCATGCTTAGATGTTCCAGTGTCTCAGTTGTGTTTATTTCTAAAAAATTCCCCCGGGGTAAGACCCGTCCCAAGAACAGTAGAATATGAGGCGGCATTAGCGGGCGAGTTATGGGCCAAAATACCTGTACGGTTTTAAGCATTAAATACTATCCCGTTT